TTTATTGCATATTTACAGGAGCAATGTACACAGGCTAATACATTAGCAGGGTTTTAAGATTACTTATAATTTTGTTATGAATGGATAATAGAGATTTAAATAGGTTAAAATTTAACAATAGCCAGGCAGTATATTGATAAATAAGAGACCCAAGGAAGGGATTAGAGGGAAGTCAATTTGTTTTGTTTTGTTGTATTATTGTTGTTTTTATTTTTGTTATTTTTGGAAAATCAATAAAATGTTATTAAAAAACAACAACCAGACTAACATTTGGGAGAGTAACTGCATGTTTGAAACTCTGCCAAGTAAAATACAGCTTGGGAGTGATTTGCTCATCATTGGGCATAGAAAGGATCAAATATCTCCGCTGCCACTGCCACCCTTCAGATTCCCCTCTGAAAAGCGCCCACTTCCACAGGTACTTTTGCTAAGGAGGAGGAGGAGGAGGGATGTTGGGGAGCAGTTTATGTGAAACATGGCATTGCATCCTTAAATGCCTTTATTTTGGTAGGGGCTTACACAGAGACCCTTACATTCATAGAAGCTAGGAAAAGACTAGACAAAGCAGGAAGAGCTGAAATTTAAGAAGGGACATCTATTCCCATAGTCTTGGAGTCATGCCAGAAAAGCCAGAATCCTTGTTCCAAAGCACAGTGCTGGCTGATTTGGAGAGTGTTGATAAAATCTGTCAGTGGACAAACACCAAATCTCACAGCACAGTTCTGCAGCTCCTACTTCTCACTTGGCTCCCTGCCTCCCTCTACTTCAGATTTTCACTTACCCATTTCCCCCCTCATTGCACTATTGAACACTAACCGCATTTTTTCGGTAAGAACCTAAGGAGATTCTGCTGGATCCACTTGTGAATTGCTCTTCAAACTCATCAATTTGATGAGCAGCCCCTCAATTCCTTCATCCAAGTCATTTATAAAGGACAGAACCTGCAGCACCTCACTCGTCCCTTTTTCCAAGATGACAAGGAACCATTAGTGAGCACTCTTGGGGTTCAGTCAGCTAACCAGCTACAAATCCACCTAACACTTGCCTTATCCAGCCAACATTTTACCAGCTTCTGCGTCAATTTAATTATCAGTTCTAGGACCTTTCCTGGTATCAACATCAGGCTAACTGGCCAGTAGTTACCTGGGTCTTCTTTTTTCCCATTTTTGAAGATGTGGACAATATTTGCTCACCTCCAGCCTGCAGGGACCTCACCTGTTCTTGAAGAATCCAGTGTTGTCGGTCTACAACTTTCATCATCCTTGACTATTGGGTAAGCTGTACAGGGATGATGGGACTTTTGGTCCAACAGCATCTGGGGACTCAAGGTTGAAGAGCACTGCACTGGTCTCAGAGATCTCTTGCCTGGTTTCTCCACAACAACCTCTTAAAGCACATCCAAAAGGTTCCTTTGTGACAAATTCAATGGCTGCTAACCCTGATTGCTATATTTAGGCATGGCGGAGTTCTCTTTGGTTTACATTTAAAGTCAAATCTATCAGATTTGCACTTTCTGAAACACTATGAGAACTGAAATACAGCCACCATTCAAAATTATTACGCATCTGAAATTTGTTGTGCAATTTTCCAACCAAACGATATTTACAAAAATGCATATATCAGGGGAAAGGATGCATAAAATGAATATATTAGTATAAATATCATGCATAAATGCACATTAGAAGGAATTGTTTGCAAAAATGTGTACATGAATCAAAACTGCACGCAAAAAATACATTTGATGAATCATTGTATTTTAATATTCTGCTGGAAGCTGCCCAGAGTGGCTGGGGAAACCCAGCTAGATGGGCGGGGTATAGATAATAATTTATTATTATTATTATTATTATTATTAGGGGTTTATTTGAATAAATTTGAAATTGCTAAAGAATTTTCATGAGCACCTTTTTTGTTTTTTAAAAAATCAATCAGATGAGAAACTGAGAGAACCGATATTGACAGATCCTTCTATTCCCAGCTCTATTCTACTTCTGAATACCAATTGCTGGGAAATGCAGGAGAAGAGAGTGCTCTTGCAAGCAAATCCTGCTTGTGTGCTTTTCACTGGCTAGGTGTGGGGAACCTTTGCCCCACCCCAGATGTTGTTAAACTACTACTCCCTTTATCCCTGGTCATTGGTCATGTGTGCTGGGGCTGATGGGAGTTGTAGTTCAACAACATCTGGAGAGTCATAGGTTCCCCACACCTGCCATAGGCACCTGGCTGGCTACTGTGAGGAAAGAAGGATCTTATGTTATGTATGTACCTGCAGGAAGCCCCCAAAGCAGGGCATGAAGGTCACAGACCACTTCCATTGATTCTTCCCAACAACTGGTATTCAGTGGCACACTGCCTTTGAACAGTTCCAAATCACCTTCATGGCTAAGAGCCATTAACAGAGCTCTAAACCTCCATCAGTTTGTCTTTAATCCCCTTTTAAAGCCATCTAAGATAGTGCTCAAGGGACGCGGGTGGTGCTGTGGGTTAAACCACAGAGCCTAGGACTTGCCGATCAGAAGGTTGGCGGTTCGAATCCCCACGATGGGGTGAGCTCCCATTGCTCGGTCCCAGCTCCTGCCAACCTAGCAGTTCGAAAGCACGTCAAAGTGCAAGTAGATAAACGGCGTTTCTGTGCACTGCTCTGGTTCGCCAGAAGCGGCTTAGTCCTGCTGGCCACATGACCCGGAAGCTGTACGCCGGCTCCCTTGGCCAATAAAGCGAGATGAGCGTTGCAACCCCAGAGTCGGTCACGACTGGACCTAATGGTCAGGGGTCCCTTTACCTTTAAGATAGTGCTCATCTCTATTCTGTTGTCAGGGCAGGGCTTTGGGGCAGATTTCAACTGATTAAGCAAGCCCCTCCCCCAAATGCCACAAGGCTGGCTTACCACATTTGAAAGAAGTAAAATAATATGCATAAGAACATTAGAAAAGCCTACGGGATCAGGCCAGTGGCTCATCTAGACCAGCATTATGTTCCCACAATGGCCAGCCAAATACCCTAATTGGAAGGTTGAAAGCAGGGTCCAAGCACAACAGCACTCTCCCCAGTTGTAATTCTCAGCAGCTGGTATTCCAAGGCATTCGGCCTCCAGCCATGGGAGCCATCATAGCTAGTAGCTGCTGATGGCATTATCTTCCAAGAATGTGTCTAATCCTCTTTTAGAGTCATCCAAGTTGGTGGTCATCACTGCCACTTGTAGCAGCAAATTCCATAGTTTAACTCTGCACTGTCCTTCATCTTATCTGTCCTGAATCTTCCAACATTGAGCTTCATGTCCATGATTTCTAGCACTGAGAGGAAGAAAAACATTTCTCTATCCATTGTCTCCATGCTGTGGAGACACTTCTGTCATGTTTCCTTCTTACTTTCCTTTTCTCTAAACTAACCCCCCCCCCCAACATTGCCATCTGAAGAAGGCGCGCACAAGACCATTAAGTTGTGGAAATCTCAAGGAGACCTCTTCAGTGGAAGAGGCACGGGATGTTTTGCTAGCCCATCAGTAATCTTCGGTTGAGTGTTTACAGATGAAAGCATGTGTGGTTACCCTTCTTCTGTGAGCAGAGCAAACATTATAATTATCCAAATTCCCAGGCAAGCTGCTTGACACTCTCATGGTAAGCTGTGGCTTAATGGGGAATGAAACATCCACAGGAGTGTTTGAGCTGGTGGCTAAGTGGAGAAGATCATGAAGCAAATTGCTCCTGACGCCTTTAATGAACATTCTCCACAAATATTCGTTCTCTGGCACTTCACCCTTTAAAGATGCTCTGGAGCTTTTGCTACATCTTCTCATCCAGATCCAGGCACCACATGTCCAAGTTCAATACATTTAATTGTTTGCAAACTACCGTTGGTTAAGTGCAGGCAACCTTTGATGTAAGAAAACATCTGTGCTTGTGACATGGAAATGATTTTTCCCCCTTTTTGCTACTCTGATATTTTAGTTTTTTAAATTGTTCCAGAATGATGGGATGCTAATTGAATAGTTATGATTTAAATGGGAACGCCTCATACTAGTCATATATTATATACCATGTTGTGCTTCGTCAGCTCTACTCACCCTTTCCTGTTTGTGCTGCCACTGAAAGAGTCAACAGCTGGGGCAGGGCAACATCAGCAGCAAAGTGAGAGGTACCCAACCTTTGTGGCTGCTGTTACAGTTGACTTCAAGGGAGATCGGTTTTTCCCTAGGCTTCCTACCATAGGAGGCTGTCACCAAAGGGTTGACTCCAAAGGATGAGTCACCTTCAGGGTGTTGAAAGGATAAGAGTAGTGCTTTTTTTCTAAAAAAAAATGTTTAGGGGTACAGTGGTACCTCGGGTTAAGTACTTAATTCATTCTGGAGGTCCATTCTTAACCTGAAACTGTTCTTAACCTGAAGCACCACTTTAGCTAATGGGGCTGCCAGAGCACAATTTCTGTTCTCATCCTGAAGCAAAGTTCTTAACCCGAGGTACTATTTCTGGGTTAGCGGAGTCTGTAACCTGAAGATCTGTAACCGGAGGTAGCGCTGTTCTCTCATTTTGACTCAAGAAAAACACCATTATATCAATCCAATCAGGGAAAATAAATACAGTAAATGGACTAAAGGACAAAGATTCACAAAATGTTTAGGGGTATGCGTACCCCTGTGTACCCCCAGAAAAAAGCACTGCCTGCTTTTGTATATTTAACATTACAGTGGTGCCTCGGGTTACAGACGCTTCAGGTTACAGACGCTTCAGGTTACAGATTCTGCTAACCCAGAAATAGTACCTCAGGTTAAGAACTTTGCTTCAGGATGAGAACAGAAATCATGTGGTGGCGGTGCAGCGGCAGCAGGAGGGAGGCCCCATTATCTAAAGTGGTACCTCAGGTTAAGAACAGTTTCAGGTTAAGAATGGACCTCCAGAATGAATTAAGTTCTTAACCCAAGGCACCACTGTATTCCAATCTTTTTAAAATGTCTTCCTAGTATTTCCCACTCACTTATTATTATTTTCTTGTCTATATTCCTTAACGTAGCCATCATATTGGCTAATTCTATAAATTCTATTACTTTGAACAGCCACTGATATTTTGTCAGGATTGCCCTTTCTTTCCACATTTTCATATATGATATCCTGGCCATTACAGTTGCATAGACAAATAGGTTTTTTTAAAATTTTGTTTGGGAGTTCCTGTCCTATTAGCGCTAGCAAGAATGCTCCTGGTTTTGTGGGGAATGAACATTGGAGCATTTTCTTAAGTTCTTCATGGCTCATTCCCCAAAACTCTTTTGCCCTTTTGCACTGCCACCACATGTGAATTAACGTGCCATCTGCATTCATACACTTCCAGCATTGGTTGGATCCTTTTATTTATCTTTACCAGTTTGCTGGGTACCACCTAAAAAACATATTTAGTATATTGTCTCTAATTGTATAGCTTGCTAAAATTTTAATAGTATTGTTCCATAATTTCTCCCAGTCAGCCAGCCCTATATTATATCCAAAGTCTGCAGCCTAATGAATCATTGCCTCCTTCACCAGCTCGTCTTTTGTATCCCATTCCAGCAAAATGTATATATCTTTGGTAACAACTTCTCATCCTTTCCTTGAATTGTTTTCCCAAATTCTGATTCCTTTTTTACAAATCCCTTCTTTTTATCTTCTTTGAATACAGGCATACCTTGGTTGCTGAAAGCCTTGGAACTTGTATGTTTCTGCTCCTGAACGATTGAAAACCGGAAGTGAGTTTTCAAACGATTTTTGGAAGCCGAATGTCCAGCATGGCTTCCGCAGCTTCTGACTGGAGCTTCCTGCAGCCAATCAGAAGCTGTGCTTTGGTTTCTGAATGTTCTGGAAGTCAAACAGACTTCCGGAAAGGATTCCATTCGACTTCCAAGGTACAACTGTAATTCATTTATTTGAAAGTACTGAAAACAATCGCTCACAAATTCTGAAGTTTCTTCTCTTTCTTTAAGCCTTACTTTGTCTTCTTCAGTGGTCACCAGATATCCATAGGTTCCCCATTTATCTCCCATATTCCTCTTCTTAACTGCCACTGTTTCAGTTGGTGATATCCAAAGAGGTGTTTTTCTTTCCTTATCTACTCCATACATTATACAGACTTCTTCTTATTACATGATTGGAGAAGGCCTTGTGTGTTCTTGCTTTACCACAGTATAGGTAACTGTGCCAACCATACCTTAAATCATGTCCTTCTTGGTCCAGGGTTCCTGTGCCTTTTAGTTTGATCTATTCCTTCAGCCATACCAGGCAAGCCACCTCATAGTACAACTTTAAGTCTGGTAGTGAAAAGCCTCCCCTCTTTCTATCATCAATACGTTTTTTATATTTAATTCTGGGCTTTGCATTTTAACACACAGATTGTTATATTTTTTGTTTATTGTTCAGTTGGAGCATTTGTACCCTGCTCCTCAGCCAAAACAAAAACTCCCAGCATGGCTTACATACAATCCGTTAAAACAAGACAGTCCTTGCCTGCAGGTTTACAATCTAAAAGTACATGACACACAAGGAAAAATGGACAAGGGTAGACAAGGAAAACTTCAAACTCAGAGACCAATTCTTATGCAGTTGTCCTTAAAATGGACAGCTAGCACTGCTTAGGGGTAGGAGATGCCTCATGGAGTTGATCTTTTGGCAAAGCTGATGGAAATCAGCACCCTCTTTTGTCCTTTTTGTGGGGATATGCATTTCCTCTCTTTTTCCTCTTTCTTTCTTTCTTTCTTTTTTGATGATGTGTAAATGTGTAAAAGGGACACGAGTGGCACTGTGGGTTAAACCATAGAGCCTAGGACTTGCCTTGATTGAAGCCACTGGATAAAATGGAGGCTGCTAGATTTATGATGTATTGATGACTCTTAGGTCCCCAGATGTTGCTGCACTACAACACTCATCATTCCTAACCATAGTCTAATCAGGCCGGGGATGATGGGAGCTGTAGTCCAGTGACAACTGGGGATCCAAGAATGCAGAACACCGCTATATGAGATGATGGCTGGGGACTTTAATGGTTGTCACACAGGTACTTCAAGGCAGAAAGGAGCCTCCTCAAAAATATAATTGCCCCAACCTCCCTACCATTCTTTATCTGACCCAGATGGCAAACAAAGGAATTGGCAGCAGCTGGGTCTTTCAGAAGACAGACCCTAAATTTGAAAAGCTTGTGGAGAGAAAATGTGAAATGTTTGGCAATGCACCCATCTCTTTAAATCCTTCAGACCAAAGAGCCTGCAAGTTTTTCTGGGCCAGTGATTTTTTTTAAAAAAAATATTATTTCTCCCCCCCTCCCCCCCCCTTTTTATGCTTTTGAGGCTTTGAAATTAGCCATGACAGAGAACCTGGCAGAATTCAAATCCAGCCTCTCCTCTTCTATGCATGGAGAGCGTGAAAAGTTCAGCAGGGGGGAAAGGAGCCCCCCAAAAAGATATTTTGGACACGGTATCAGTGTCTGCTGCGTGCAGAGTCTTTGAACCTCTTGCCAACAGCCAGTCACTTACTGGAGTTTTATGGCCTCTGTTTAGTAATGGCCACCGTCTAAAGCTGTCATATCTTGTTTTATTTGCATCAGAGAGTCTGTAATTATATTCATGCAAACTTTCCTTTTTCTTTTTCATTCTAAGCTGAGAACAGACCTTGATTTATGCTCCCTATCAGGCAATTCTTTCTCCCATAGATGCATGGTATGCCACCCCAAGAAAGGAAGGGAGAAGGGGAGGCGAATCCAAACAACCATGCAAAACACGATCTCAAACAAGAAAGCTTGGGTTCTTAACCCCCACCTTTCACCAGCTCTGTCTTCAACACAACTGAGATAGATTGTGCTGAGACAGCAAACTCTACCTCCTTTGCACATGCACCTTTCCTCGATTGCTGATATCAGGAGACGTTCTCTGTTTGAAACCAAGGAACGCAAAACTTTAAGGAACAAAATGCAAGCAGCTGATAAGGGATGCAAATAATAATTTTTAAAAATGTGAGGTAAATAGTGAACAACATAAAGACCAAAAATAATTAAAATATATAAATTAGTAGCAGGCAGGGCCAAAACTAGGGTAGGGCAAGTGGTGCCCCTGATCTGGGTGCCTGGTTCAAAGGGGTGCCAAAATAATGATTAATGCTATGTATTGTAACAAAAGTTGGGTGCCACCCCCCCTTCTGCTGGACAGTAGTAAGATTCCAGGGGGTTCCAGGCAGTAACCCAGTGTTTTTTCTCCTTTGGGGAACTGAAGACACAGCAGAGACTGTCGGAGTTTTAAGAAATATGATTTATTCACATACAGTCATACCTCAAGTTAAATGTGCTTCGGGTTGAGCGCGTTCGAGTTGCGCTCCGCGGCATCCCGGAAGTAATGGCGCGTGTTACTTCTGGGTTTCGTCACTTGCACATGCGCAGACGCTCAAAATGACGTTATGCGCATGCGCGGAAGCGGCGAAACGCGACCCATGCACGCACGCCGTCGCTGCTTGCGTTCCATTTGGGATGTGAACGGGGCTCCGGAACGGATCCCGTTCGCATCCCGAGGTACCACTGTATTTTCACTTGCAGTCTGCATGGAGGGAGGCCAGATCTTACAGCACGGTCATTTCAAAAGGGGCTTTTCCCCACAGCAGTGAAGCACTAGCGTCAAAGGCATCTCTCTCAGCTAGACTGCAGCTAGACTGTCCAAGCTAGATCTTAGTCGTTCTTCTCCACAACCTTCTTTCCAGCACACCTTGCTAGAAACTCTTTTCCTGTCACCTCATGCCCAGTAACCCTGGCAAACTTCTTTCTGCCCAGGCCCAAGATTCCTCTTAGACAGACCATCAACACCGTTTGTCATGTTAATGCCTCGATCCGAGGTGAGGCTCTGGCTTGGAAAGAAAGCTTAGCCTGTATTTTCCCACTGGCCTACAAGTTTCCCTTCAATACTCCAAATAATCAGAATCCTACCATTTATTAATTTCTAGGGTTTAGGGGGTCCACCATTAAACTTATAGTTTTTTAAAAGGCATTTGTGCTAAAACACTGATTAATTTACTACTACTACTACTACTATTTGCATACCGCCCTTCATCTGTAGATCTCTGCAGTTAACAATATAAAAAAATGTATAAAAAACACATAATAAAAATAAGAACAAAACAAACCAAGAATCCTCCCCTCCCACAGATACTGTTAAGTTGTGGGTGAACATATCAGACGACACAGCAATTCTTCGAACAGCTCTTGTTTATTCACAGGCCAGAACAGAACTGAACAGCAAACAGCTCAGCCGGCCTGCTTTTATAGGCAGCCGGCTGTCAACATTGTAGCAACAACAACCCAGGGTTTCCTGCCTAAAGTAACTGATGTGGACCTGAGTGAAAACTACATACACGATACTCCTGGTGGCCAGGGTGAGAACTTCAATACATAACAGATACATTTAAAAGGTCCATTCTTGTGTTGCCACCCTCCGGAACACTCTTGGAGGAGGCACATGAAGAAGGGCCTCAGATGATGATCACAGGCTCTGGGTCTGTTCATATGGAGAGAGGCAGTCCTTGAGGTATTGCAGTCCCGAGCCGTTTAAGGCTTTATAGGTCAAAACCAGCACTTTGAATTGGGCCTGAAAACTAATCGGCAGCCAGTGCTATCAGGCTGGCATCAGTGTGATATGCTCAAACTGTCTTGCTCCAGAGAGCCACCTGGCCACCAAATTCTGCCCCCGCTGAAATTTCTGAGCTGAAGTTTCACGAGGATTCTTAAAAACAGAAGCACACAAACACAAATTGCTGTGGAGACTAGAATATAAGACTGGGGAAGCACAAAACAGAAAGAAGCCAAAATGGATAGACTGGCTCACCCTTTTCCACCAATAGGATTCCTATGCCCAGTTTTTTGCATTTGCATGACAGCTTTCTAAGCCACACACAATGACACTGGACTCTGCATGCCACTCTGCATGTTGTTTGAAATATTTTGCACACACACACACACACACACACAAACCATATTTAAAGATGGCACTTTTGAACCACTACGCAAAGTAAGGTTAGAGCCAGATGCGACCATTTTTCTCCCTCTGAGAGGGAGCTTCCCTTTCTACCCATAAGCACCCAATCCATCATTGACCACGCAGATGAGGATGGGCAAGTCTGGCACTTCCAGCCTCTCATTTTTTTTCCAATCGCATCTTCAGTTCACAACATTTCCATATCACTTTGCAGAAATAAATAAATAAATAAATAAAGTCCTCATGGGAATTCATCAATGAATTTCTCCACGACAAAAGGCCCATTTGAAAGGCTAATGTCCTGATCGGAAAAGGAATTCCAGGAGAGGTTTGATTGACTTCAGAATGTAGCAGCCAGTAGGTTATCTAGAGGAGGCACATAGAACGTATCACCCCAGTGTTATTCCAGTAACAGTTATTCCTACAACTAAGTAGGCAAACGGGACAGTTTTCTAACCACTGTCTGCATCGCACAGGCTGCCAATCTGCCTCTTGGCCCAACGCACAGACACAAACAACAAGCACACACACAGACATCATCTCTAGGCAAGGGGTACTTTTGAACTGCCCGGCAAGCTGAGAGGCAGGTGCCTCTCAGAAGGAGTTGCCTTCTCTACCCATAAGTCCGCAATCCATCATTGACGCTCATGCTCCACAACTAAGATAACATTCTCAACAAAAGTAAATCACAAGAAGACGTTTCCAATGAGCACCTTGTCATTACAACTGAGGTTTATAATTTGACCCTGCAATTTGCAGTCATCTCAGCCAAAACTACGTTAATATCGTAATACTTTTTTAAAGGGTTGAGCGGGGCGGGGAATCCATGTCAAGTCCTAAAAACCTTGGACAGATTAAATGACTTACAGGCGCAGACAAATGTAACATTTGTGGATATGCGGGCCAGTTTGGAAGCAGTCCTCGTCACAATAAGGCCACATCCATACCATACATTTAAAGCACTATGATGCCACTTTAAACCATCATGGCTCCCCGCCCCGCCCCCCGGCAAAGAATTACAGAAGCTCTAGTTTGTTACAGGTGTTGAGAGTTGTTAGGAAACCTGTTGCATCTCTCAGAGTAGTTTAATAGTCAATTCCTCTTCGCAGTATCATGGTATCATGGTGCTTTAAAGGTGGTGGAGGAGGAGTTTGATATCCTGCTTTATCACTCAAAGCGGCTAACTATCTCCTTTCCCTTCCTCCCCCACAACAAGCACTCTGTGAGGTGAGTGGGGCTGAGAGACTTCAGAGAAGTGTGACTGGCCCAAGGTCACCCAGCAGCTGCATGTGGAGGAGCAGGGAATCAAACCCGGTTCATCAGATTACGAGTCCACTGTTCTTAACCACTACACCACGCTGGCTCTCACTACACCAAAGGTATGGTGTGAATGTGGCCTAAGAATCTATGAAAAGTCTGCTGGATTGGGCTAGTGGCCCATCTAGTCCAACAGCCTGTTCTCTGTGTGGCCAGGCAGATACCCCAATAGGAAGCCCAAACGTACACAGGAAACACAAACACATTTCTGAAAAGTAAAGGGAAAATGCTATGTGAATTTGCATCAAAAAGTGGCTGTCGGCAATGTTGATTGGCCAGCACTCATAATGTCATCCTCTCCCCCACCCCCTATCTCCGGTCTCTAGGGCAGCATTGCTTTTTTTTTTCTGGGTGGAAGTGTTAGGTTTGCTTTTCGCCTCCCTGCCTTTTTGCACTGCGCGGTACTGCTCAATCTTCACCTCCCGCATAATGGGGAGACAGGGCGAAATTGCTGCTCTTTTCTTTTTTCCACCCAGTCGGAGCAGTA